AGATATAGATTATAATTGTAAAAATAATATAGGATTTAATTCTGTAGGAACTAGTAAAGAGATAAAAAAGATAGAGGATATTATAACTAAACATAGAGATATACAAGAAGAAATTTCAGAAGAATTAGTTCGAGGATATATAACCAAGAAAGGTCAGCCTAGGATCTTTGAAGAACTACTAAAATACAAAGAATATTTAAAGGTGTTTGAAAGATTGAAAAATATAGATATAGATCCTGATTAATAAATCCTCAAAGATATAAGATATATCTTGCAAATAATTATAGTAAGGGTAAAATAGTATTTCTTATAAAAAAGGCCACTGTGAAAAATTGGATCAATTATCCAGCCATTTTAAAATTGCCCCGACATATCTATTCGTTGGAGTGATGGTTTCTTATTCTTGCTGTGCTGAGGTGAAATCAAATGGGCATTACTTGAATGCGTGTGAAGAAATTATTAAGAATTGTTTTTGTTAAAGAATTGAGAGTTTCAAAGATATAAGATATATCTTGCAAATAATTATAGTAAGGGTAAAATAATATTTCTTATAAAAAAGGCCACTGTGAAAAATTGGATCAATTATCCAGCCATTTTAAAATTGCCCCGACATATCTATTCGTTGGAGTGATGGTTTCTTATTCTTGCTTTGCTGAGGTGAAATCAAATGGGCATTACTTGAATGCGTGTGAAGAAATTATTAAGAATTGTTTTTGTTAAAGAATTGAGAGTTTCTAATAATACAAGACTACTTAGAGGGAGGATTCATCGCAAATGCTAGCTTTGCTCATTACTTCTTCACATTCACCGTGCAATGCATGTAAACATGACTAAAGATTTTTTGCTGAAACGAGACCTCTTGGCAACAAACATCCACATAACTTGTCACTCGTGTTGTTGGTACGGGTTGCTAATACGGGAGAAATATTTTGAAGGCACAAAAAAAAAAAAAAAAAAAAAAAAAAAAAAAAAAAGAAGAAGAACCTAGGTTCGACCATCATGGCTCAAGGTTACTCTAAATCGCACTTGACCTACTCCAAAGGTAGTGTTTGGACCAGCACAAGTATTCCATTTGGGCCATTTGAATATGAATAATGCTACGTGAACAAATTAAGAACGATCCCCTCACAAATGATAGAATAATACTATCTAACACCACTGATCCACAACGACAATATACGTGCAATTGGCTAAATTAAAAGTACAATTAAGAGACTATAATAACTCTGAATAATAAAATCAATAAAGTAAATTTCATACCCACATATTTAATTGACCAAACCATTTCACCCGCACATTGATTACCATATCATATATAGATAATCTCCACTTCGTACATGTAGCATTATTTTTCGAATCTCAATCCAGCATTATTTTTTGAATCTCCATCCAGAATTTCTCACACGTAAACCAGCTCTGGGTGCACAAACACCATGCTTGGCCTGGCTCCAAACAAAGTTACAATTGGCGTGCAAATTTGAAGAATCAACCAAATCAAGTGCTATATAAACAATCACAGTAGAGAAGTTTCTCTATCACCAAATCAAATACTTTGAAGTAGAAAAATCAAGACCAATGGACGTCTCAACAATTGGGTCATTAATCAGATAATCATGCAGACGAAAAGCCATCAATACTATGATTAAATCCACTCTAGTATCTAAATTTCAAATTTGTAACAATTTCCATGTATCTATCTGTACACGAAATTTGTTGTACACGACAAGGCACCGTCAATAGAGGACACCAGTATACTAGAGATAACTAACGCACCAGCTAATAATCCTAATACAAAACGACTTCTCATCTTTTCACACAAATGTTGAATCAAATAGGGTAGAAACACAAATTGCACATTGCAATACCCTCTATTATACACACTGCCAAAAAGATTTCATCATCTTATATCCCGTCCGTCAATCAATATATGGACCGGACTTCAAGACCTCTTAAAACATAAATAAAAATAATACACCTACCCAAGACACAAAAAGAAAGAAAAAATAAACAAGTAATACCCACCCTCGCACATGGAGAAAGACGAAACACTGCAGCTTCTGTCTGAGGCTCATGTACAAATATTTCTACTTTTACTATCCCCGACGAACTGCTTTCAGCACAACAAATGAAGTAGGCAACTCAACGCCAGCACAAATGTGCTTGGACAAACTTATGTATTCTTTTAAAGGCTGACCAAGAATGTTAACAGTAGCACGAGTTCAAAGCCTTGCTGTTTCCATAAGGAATACAAATCGGAGAATTCCCCATGTAGAGTCGTGCTATGTACAAATCACTGCACAGGTGCCAGCCAGAGCCTCAGAGAAGTACAAAACTCGTGAGCATGTTTGGCTAAGCTTAGGAGGTTCACTTATAGGTACATATAAAAATTTAAAATAAATAGGCTTTTTTTTTAATTGATCAAAAGTGAAAATAAATTACTGATTTGGCTAATGAGTAGGAATTTTTTTTTTTTTTATTTTTTTTTATTTTTTATACCTGAAAGCCAGAAAAGGTGATCCAACCACAGCTGAAAACTGAAAGTTATCTTTACTTATTTTTAAGCTTAGCAAAACATACTTTGTCTCTGGAAGCATAATCTAAATTAAAGCAAGAGAACCTCGGTCATTAGCAACTTGAGGACGGCCTCTAGTTGGCGTAGGTGGTCTGTTAGCATTGAGTTCCTAAGTTTGAAACCAAAAAGGAGAGAAAAAAGGAAGCAAGATCAATATCAGCAAAATATGCGAAGACATTTGTCAGATATATGGAGAATATCAGAAAACGAAAGTTTGAGACAAGTTAGCACCTGCATCCAAGTGTCTTCTATATGGCGTTCAGGAGACGTTTCCGGAGATGAAATTGCAGGCGGCAATGGATGAATTAGTTTTGGCACCACCACTAAATCTCGACCCAAAACCAAGATAGCACCAGCATTATTTGCAGTACCTGCAGGATTAAAAATAAGAAAATTACAGAGAACATTCAAACTGAAAGAAAATTTTGAATTGTACAACTATAAGTCTACCAATTTTTATTAAAATTAGCTCATACCACAGTAGTTTGTGGCTGAAAATAGAGTAATCAAATGTCCCTGAGCAAATCTTTCGAATCCATCCATCACACATTCATGTGCCCGAACAATCAATTGAAGATCATTGTTATTGCAGAACTCCATTACACGGTCAGGCTGCACAGATAGAAACTTGGATGAGCCATAGTGCTCAACTGACAGAGAAACTAACAAGAAGTCAAACAAATTCTCCATTTGTTGTACAGAATAATCCAAGAAGAATTATTAACATAATATTAATCTGGATAAATGTACAAGACATGGAATAAGTGTTAAAATAAATAAAATTATTCTTCATCTTATAACCTCTGGAATAAGGGCAAAAACTAAAACATCCCAACAAGGACAGCTAGCCCAGGCAGACTCCACCAATCCTTTGTGAACCTGCTAAATAATATAGGACGTCTCTACTACATTCTTGCCGACTCTCTGAATAAAAGCTTTTGACCATAATTACTCAAAGGCTTCTTCAGTCAATCGGAACAAAAAAATAAAGAAAAAAGTGAAATCCGATAAGATGAAAGGCCTTAGAAATTCACGAGGCATACATTATGTGAATGTGCAACATCTAATTCAATTGCTTTCTGATTGTTGTTCAAGTTGCAAAGTTTTAGAAACTCCTTGCCTTTGGCAAGTGGTCACCAATTTTTGAAACTCAAAAAGAAAAGAAAAATATCAATGCTAAAATGTAAAATTGTTCTTCACTAAAACAAGCTCAATCCTTCGGCAACAAGAGGAGACCCTATTTGCATACCAAGAAACTACAAATTCGTAACTAATTATAATGAACGTCAGTAACATTAATCCCTACATCCCTCAAACACACACATGCACACAGATAAATCAGGATAAAAAAAATCAATCTAATTCAAATCAACGATGTACGGAATGAAACAATCATCATTCTAAAGTAAAAGAATAAAAAATGAAGAAGTTGAAAATAGATTATGAGAGAAATGCTCACCCCGAAGGTAACCAAGCCAGGACCCCTTGCATTTGGTCGTAATCCTTCTACACTGTCATTTTCTGTGGGGTCAGACCTACAAGGAAATATTTAAGTGTAAGAATAGGAATTGGGAAAAATAGAAGAATAAAAATAAAGAGAGAACAGACATGAACTAACCACAATAAGTCCATGAGAACAATTGATCCTGCTTCCATTGTAATTGGACGCTGAATATTCTCAATTTGTTCCACATGGTTGATTGATCTTCCAATACCACCATGCATACAGATAATTTTTTTCTCAATCAATGCTGCCAGAGGGAGCCAGTTGAATAATCTGTTTATCCGATGCCATGCCCAGATTCCATCTCTCTCACCCTATTTAAGGCACCATTATAAGGTCCAAACATTTTTCCAGAATAGAAAAGCACAAGTAATAAAACCTATGATAATTTACCATGCGTTCAATGCACTCAATTCGAAAGCCAAAAAGAGCATTGATGTCTGCAGCTTCATGATTACCACGAATTAAATGTATCTGATGAGGATGCTCAACCTACACATTCATTTATTTGGATGAAAATGCATTAGATCACTTCATAATGGAGGGAGGGAAAATAAATGATAAGGCTGTATTGACAGACAGGAGTACCACCTTCATAGCTAGGAGAAGAGTTATGGTTTCCAAGCTGTGCTGGCCACGATCAACATAATCCCCCAAGAACAGATAATCAATATACCTGATAGGTTTATTTAAAAAATTAGCATTACACTAAAAGTGAATAGACATTACAAACAATGTAGTTCGCATAAAACAATAACATAGTTAAAAGTCAACCTAAGCAACTTGTGTAAATCATGAAGGGGCAAAGGGGCTTATAGATGCATATGATAAGGGGGAATATGATCTTCGGTTTCAATAAATATTTTAGAACATAGACACTATTGTGGCAAAAGAGACTAAAATTATATTTAACATCTCAAAGTTCAATTAAAGGTGAAAGTGACATTCTATATAATGGCATCTTGAGATGGCAACAATGGATGGACAACAGAGGATAGAAGGCCAAACTTCCCAACTGGGAACAATTAGCCTATCCAATAGAACATGCAATCAACAATGGAATCATTTAACTTCTATGATGGCTTCTGCTAATGGCATGGTTTATTAAGCATTTATAAAAAATACTGGAGCATGAAAGGATAAAAAACATGAAATTAGGCATCATGGAAGCTAGCATGACAAATTAAACTGACTCACAGCATAAGCATTTGGTAGAAGGATGTAATAGGTTGAAAACTTACGCTATATCCCCAGCAGTTGAAGGAGATCCATACTCATCAAAAAGACGCATAAGATCCCCAAATTGCCCATGCAAATCACCGAATATCTTAATAGGAGCCCTGAGCTGTAGTACACTAGGTTCACTAGCAAATATTCTCTCAGCACTGTCACAAAGATCTCCTATCTCATTGCAATCCAAGAAAAACTGTCTACGAACGGGAGGCTTCCAACCACGAGGTTTCAGAAGATGAGCAATCACCTGGGAATGCAGGAGACAGGCCATGACCCAACAGCTTAAATATAGCTAATTTACAATAAGAAATATTAATATTAAATGGACGCGTCATAATAGACCAATAGTCAAAACAAATATATTAATTACACAGATATTATTGTTTGTAGAGGTACAAAACTTACTGAAACCAAAAAATATAGAACAATCAATTTTATAAGATGGAAATATACCCATTTGGTTAACATCCCATGCATTCAGAGAAATATGATTTTTTTTTTTTTTCCCTTTTATGTATGCGTAAAGCACTTGGTTTTGTTATGGCGAAGATCAAATTGGTAAACCTCCCGTGGAGAATATAATGCAAGAAGAAAGCAGAAGTATGCAATTCTAATGAATTTGACTAAAGCAAATAGCATGTCATTAGCATTTTACTTGGGGACTCATTACTGATGTTCTTCAATGTAATACCAAAGGAATAAATCTGTACAAACATTGTATTTGATGAAGATTACCGTGTTGAGGATAAAGAAAAGGGAGTACCTTCTTGGGTACACTGTTAATAGACATTTGCCGATCTAAAAGTTTCCTAGCTGCTGTTGCACTTTCTGGAGTACCATAACCGACTCGTCTGCCTTCGTTTTCAAACTGATCGATAGAAAGCTGTCTGACCATGCCACCTAAAGCCCCACCAGTCTCTGCAGCCACAACAACCTGCCAACGTTTTGATGGCTTATAACGAAACAAATTTACAACTTGGCTATGACTGAAAATGAAATTTACTTAGCCCCTATTTGGCCCCAATATTTTCAAAATTCATTTTTCCTCAAGCTCATTTTCAGCCACATATTTCATGGAACCAGCAACTTATATCAAATTTCATATTACATCAACTTTTATCAAAATCTACTAAGAACTTTTAGCAAAATCAAACAGGGGCTTAATATTATATATTATTTTGATACTAACAGCACGGTGATGAAGCCGAACTCCAGCTGAAACAGGGTTACTTGATGCTGCAGAATCAGGCTTTATCAAGGTAGATGTCTGTTTTCCGCTAGGGGTTGCCTCTGCTCCACGGTCTCTATCTGGAAGCTCAATTTCCCCATTAACTTGCCTAGCTTTAGCAGCAGCTAATGTAGCAGTAATTGCCTCAGCTTCTGCTGCTGCAGCCTCAACTAAGTAATCAACACCTTTGCTCAGTCTTCTGCAAAGCATAGAATTTAATATATGAACTTTAAGCCACTGAAAGGCAAAAACTACTGAGCTATTTGTAAATCACAGAATATGAATCTATATAAACATTTAGTAGCAAGCTTACCGAGAACCTTGAAGCATTGCATTTTCTGTGCTTATGTCTGCATGCACATCACCATTTACTGGCGGAGCAACAGGACTACCTACCACAACCGCACCATCAACAGTAGTATCAGGCACAAGTGATCTTGTTCTATCATCAGCAAATCCATATTTACCCAGTAACCTCCCTTGCTGCAAATTTGATGCAGCAGCTGCAGCCGCATGAGAAGCTGCATTAGTTGTTTCAGAAGCAGCAAGATCTTCTGCGACAAGTAGGTCATCAAGCAACAACCCTGCAGGCAACACATAACAGATGATATATTCCTTTCAATACTAAAATATGTAGACACTGCAACAAAAACCTATTACAAAGTATACTTTATTTTATCCAACTTCCTGAAAAACTCAATCATGTACATAATCAAAGCTGAACCAATATAAAAAAGAATGCTAATATATGATCTAGACCCCTAAAGCATGTATGCAACAGAAAATCATTAAAAAAAAGAGCCATTCACCATAATTAGTATTTTCATGTTGGAAACAGAAATAGGTTCCAAACTAAGGCAGAGACAATTGACATAAAATCATATGAAGGAAAGTCAACTTATTTAACTACCCAAGAACAATGTTCCAGAAGATGGTCCTGGATAACAGCAGATCATAGTCTAAACTAACTTTTCAGAATGCCATTGGTAGGAGGCAAGATAAATAACAACCCAGCAGCTGTCCTCCTTTTTCAGTCTTTAAACCAGTTGGGCAGCCAAAAATTGATGATTAAAAATATTTAAAAATCTCAATTCTACAGAAAACTCAAAAACCTGGCTATCGTTTAACCATGTAAAAACACCAAAAAAACATACTGCCTATGATGCTCGGACTCGGTTACTGGTTATGGGTACACATCCAAGTGTCGGATCTTATATTTTCTAAAATGTAGAATACGGGAACGTGGTTAAAAAGAGTCCAAATTTTGGACACAGGTACGTGGACACATCTTTGGAACTTCAATTTTTTTCCCAAAATTTCACATTTAAAAAGTTAAATAATAATTACAGGGCAAATTATATATTGTAATTTATAATAAGTGGCAATTTTTTCCCATAAATTTACAAGCAAAATCTTTTCATTTGATGTAGATGTGATTACATTTTATATATTATAATTTATAATAAGATCAATTAACTTGGAGGCCCGTTTATAAATAGTACTGCAATATTAAAGTAAAATTGATATCTAAAAAATACACATTACTCCTAAATTACCAAATTACGAAAGCCCATTTTACGCCACCGAACAGTCCTCCAAATCATTTCCCCGCCCAAGATATTGCTAAAAAAATCCCAATTTTCGTCTCCTGTACAGGCCCACCCAAAACTAAAGGCCAGTGATTAAAAAAAAAAAAGAGGAGAAGGAAGAGCTCAAAAGCCCAAAACTAAAGATCAACAGATAAAACTAAAAAAATGCGCAAAAACCCCTTTTTTTCTTTTAAAGGGCCCATACTCCAACAAAATGCCCATACTCCAACAAAATCCTTTCTCCTTCCCTAATCCCTCTCATTCACCGCTTTTTGCACTCTGCAACGACAATGGCAGCATCCAAGTTCCAACAAGTTCCATCTATGGCCATGTCCAGTTGAAAATCACCGTATCCGCCCCGTATCTCATACCCGTACCCGTGTCATGTTGACACAATGCCAGCCAGAAAGACGAGTCCGAGCATCACAGCATACTACAACTATATTGCATCATCATAATGAGCAAACAAAAATCATATCAAGCTTCCAAACTTGTGATCATACCTCACTGCACTACTTTCAGAATCAGTGACAAGAAAGTGGAGTACTCCTGTTGTTTTGTTGTCTGAGCTACGGAATATACTCTCAAGATCTCAGGATCTGAAAACTAGAGAAATTTTGTTGATTCACTTATTTATTCCTAGTTGTATCAGAAATTCAACCATTCACTTGCTCATCCCTCCGGAACATGTACAGTTCTTAACAGGCTCAGTGAAAAATACATGTTGAAGGTATAAAGAACTAAAATATCACTTCCTCCAAGTGACTGTCATGTATGTCAATGCCAAGATGTGCGTGTTCACTATGTATTTCAAATATTTCGCCAGAAACTAAATGAATTTCAGTAACAACAAACTCAATGCGAGACATAATCTCAACTCCTCAGTAAAAATAGTATTACTTCCTAACTAGTCTCCCAAACTCAAAGTGAGATAGCGATTTCAATTGCATTATAATTTTCAAGGAGGAAAAAGCATTCATTTTCTATTTCAAACATTCAGGTTGAACTAATTCTCCTCACCTTAGAAATCCAATAAAATCCAAATTATCCTAGTACAGTTGCTACTTTCCAGTTTTATAATATACCCCCACAAAGGTTAAATTTTTTTTTTTTTTTTTTTTTTTGGGAAAGGTAATCAAGTATTTTATTAATCAAACCATAATACACAGGAAGTTTATTATCAATACAAATCCGAAAGAAACGACATAAAATTGAGCAGCCCATCTATGTGACTAGTAGCCACCGCATTAAACCAAGTCGACAATGTGAAATAAAAAAATTCTTTAAGTTGCTCTGTTGTTGTTGTTTGATCGTCAAAACATCGGATGTTCCTTTCTCTCCACACACACCAAACTATGCAGCCCAGAATAAGCTCTCATGCAAGTTTGTCATCCTTGTCGCAAAATTTTCTCCTCCATGCCTTTAACACGTCTTCCATACGCCTTGGCATTGCCCAATCTATGTGTTGCGATGCGAAAATCTCATTCCACATTAAACTAGCAATATCACAATGGAGAAATAAGTGATCAATCGTCTCCCCATCCCTCCTACACATAAAGCACCACTCTGTAGTACAAAAACCCCTTGTCCGTAGATTTTCCGCCGTTAGCACCTATCCTCTCACCACTGTCCATAGTAAAAATGCTACTTGTGGTGGCAGTTTACTCTTCTACAACGCCTTCCAAGGGAAAGAGCTATTTTCAGCTCCAATAAAGATTTAAAGAAAGTGCCGACTGAAAACATGTCATCCTGTGCCAACCTCCACCTGCTGCAATCACCATCTCCTGCCCTGATTTGTACCTCATATAAAGATGTCAAAAACAGCGCGTAGTCATCTAACTCCAATCTTGCAAACCCCGTGCAAAAACAATGTTCCAACTGATACTCCCATTATGAATATCTAAAACATCATTCACCATGGCAGACGGCAACAATGCAATACATACAAGAAAGGAAATTTCAATCTTAGTGGTTGATCTCCACACCAACAATCATTCCAAAAACTGATAGTATTACCATTCCCCAATACAAAAGTCAATTTATCCCGAAAATCGCTCCACCGTCGCCGGATATACCGCCACAGACTCACTCAATAAGAGCCTCGACTCTCGACTGAACACCATCCTCCCTTCATAACAACATATTTTGCTCCTATAATTTCTCTCCAAAAACTCCCCCTCTCAGTTTCGAATCGCCACAACCACTTACCCAACAAAGCTTTATTAAACAGTACGAGACTCCTCAATCCGAGACCACCCAACCTCATAGGTTAAATAAGTACTTGGAAAGTAAGGAACTGTGTAAAACGTCTTACAATTACATTTAGATCAAAGAGTGAAAAACTATAAATTTGAAAAACTATAACAATAATAACGACCAGATCAACCATAATAAGCTAGTCATTTTAGCGTTTACTATTATATCCTTGGGGCAAAAAAATAAAAAAAAAAATCCGAAACATAATGACATCACTCCTATGCACCTAGTCTCCAATTTTTTCCTAAACGAAGCTTACTATTTCTTGATTGTTACATGATTACTTAAGTCATTGGAGATATAGTGTCACAAGTAACATAAGTAACAGTTACCACCTTATATCCAAAACTAAAAAAAAAAAAAAAAAAACATATCTCGGTGATGCTGCAGTATCAAGTCTTACCACCACGAAGACCGCCATAAATGAAGATCAAGTCACCAACGGCAGCAGCAGCATGCCTACAGCGTCTTGTCAATTCAACTGTAGCATCCCCACCAGCAGCATCAGCACTGTATCTGCCAGTCCTCGGACTCGTAACAACAGACTTTGTATCACACCAAACTCCTGCTGCAGTGTCCAAAACTGCACCGTAAAAAGTGCAGATATTATTGAAAAATTGATGCAATGCAATCTTCTTCTAGGACAACTCAATTTTTTAGTAGATGCAAGGGAAAAAAAAAAGAAATTCTTTATAATAAACATAAATAAAGAAAAGTACCAGCCACACTTGATGAGTCTTCAACCATGCGTCCACCCCCAAGTGCCCCTCCAGATACATGAAGACGTGCATTAACAAAAACCTAAAAATGCCAGTATTAAGTTATAAGTTTTAGCCAGAGAGAAGAATTCTTTGATTTTTAAGTATTCCTAATTACAGATGAAGTTTATCACAATCAATGATCAATAAAAGAACTCACTGCTGCATGCTGATATCTGGGAGATGGTGAGACACCGGGAGCAATGGCCCATTCCCATCGACCGTCTCTATGTTTGGCAAGCCCATGTGCACTTGCCAGCGGCTGCATAAAAACATACGAACAGAAAAAAGTGTTGAGTGATCTTTCTGGTGTTAATTGTCATCTTCATCATTAACCAACTTGCTGAAAAAATTTCCAAACACCAGAGGTGTCACAACAACAATCTTTCCAGGTAATTATGCACCAGTGTCTGCATTTGCATTTTGCAATTGCTACTATTATAAGTAGGGTAAGAGTATCTAAACTTCTAAACTAACACTTTGCTACTGCTTTAGCAACTCAGTGCTATATTTTGCTATTGCAGTAATTGTACAATTATTGAAATTGTCATATACTACTTTTAACTTTAAATTGCATCACTAAATATTAACAGACAAGAAAGCAAAGATCTACACTAAATCAACTGAAGAGTAGGATCCTGAAGAACAACTATTGTGCATTATTACCCTCCCAAGCAAGCAAAAAGAAGATTCTTAAACTTTCAAAAATAAGGGCCATGCGAAAGATGAAGTAAATTTCAGAAAAAAATTTTAGCACCACAAGGTTGACATTTAGGCCCATCAACCAGTGATACCTACACTAGATCCACCTAATCATAATGCAAGAAAAGACAAATATTTAAGAGAGAAGCATTGAAAGAAACCGTAAGCCGGACACTTAACTCCCCATCTCTGATAACAGAAATAATAACACAATCAACAGAAAGAGTGCACGTCTACATACATAAAAAAACACGCATAAAAGAAGAAAAAGAAACCCGTGCTCCCTCTTCGTTTAAATAGACCAAATTTAGGACTAAGGTCCCACTTAGGAGTTATGGTATAGTGAAGTAATCCCATGAAAAATGAGCAAATAGAAACATTAAATGAAGAGGAAATGTAAAGAATTGTGCATCCAATGAAACTAAATAAAGCAAAGAACAAGTGAATCCAGGTATATCATAATCATCCATGACATGAAAGTTTCAGAAATCACACTAACCGCGCTACTTGCATCCCTTCCTCCACATAAAAGAAGAAGACCATCAGAGCGTGCACTTGCAGTTGCGTACCTGGGAAAGGCGATGGGCAAGCAAAAGATCAAGACAACTTCACTTCTTAAAAACACAGTATCAAGATAACTTCACTTCTTAAAAACACAGTCCAGATGTTCATAGCACGTCATATGATAGAATATACATTTTTCTCCTTGAAAAATTATAAAATTACTAATGAAGACAGCAAAATCGTGCACATCAACCACTTCAATATTGTTTATCTAGCTTAAAAATCAATGTAATAAGAAGTACCATAAAGTAACAAAGTGAACCAGTGGCACATGAACAAAGATTCAGAAAAGAAGCCAAGTAGGTGCTAGGCTTGGTCAAGCTAATATTTCTTTACCATGTCACATGGAACCAGTTCTGAGTCCATACAGTTTTCCAACCGAGCAAAGCATTAAAAGACCCAGCACTGTCCCTAAAATAATATTTCACATTTAAAGAGATTCTTTTAACCGAAAATTGGATTCTCAAGTTTGAAAGATCATTCACCCTACCATTAATAACAAAATGGACTTACTTCTTTACCTGGTCTAAGCAACTACCATAAATGCAGGAGGTGAAATTGAACACTTAGATGAGCAACAAGTCATCTGTATTTCTAAATACATATTGAAAATTGCACATATCAAAAGAGTAAGGGCAATAATACTTCTCATAAAGTGAGGATCGAACAACATAAGTCAAAAGATCAAGAAGGCTTGGACAACTCCAAAAGGATCAAGTATTTTAGGATAGAAAATACTCAGGAACTATTACAGACATTCTCCTTAAACAACTATCAAAGACAACATGGTTGCAAATATATGACATAAATATTTGTACTACTATGAATTTAAAACAATTTGTAAGTCATCCTGCAATTTTAGAATACTTCGATTCTCTAAAATATAAATAAATAAAATAAAAATAAAATCCACAAACTTTCTGTTTCACCACATACAAAACCAGTATATGCACGGATGCAAATATCACATGTATGCATATATAAACCAGATTTACCGTAAGTAAAAAAGTAAAACCAGTACTTACAACAGAAAAATGGTGAAAATTGTTATTTGAAATGTACATAAAACTATAAGTCAACAGCAGACTAAAATGTGTTCCTTATTTTTTCCCACAATTTTTTTTTTTTTTTTAACTTGTGAAATAAAGAGAAGAAAAATGAAAATCGTATTTGCTTTTTGGTGAGCTAAAGATCCATGTAATGAATGTCATGCTGATCTCATTAAATGTATATTTAATTGGAAATGAAGCAAACATCATTTGCTCTTTTATGCAAATCTCATAAGCATCAATTCCTACAAAAACATTCCAAGTCATTTCCCAAACAACGTGCTTTATCCACTTCGAATATGCATATGCTGTTATTTGTGTTTCTAAGTAACATCACAAACTGATTTTGTAACACCCAAAATCCTTTGTAGTCGTTAATTATGAAATTAGTATTACTAAAATTACATAACTCTGTATATGCATAATTATATATAATTACAATTGACTGATTTAAATTATAGTATGACTACAATTACATAAGTCTATATATGCACTATTAAATATAATTCCGATCGATTAATTTAAATAATGCGGTTACCATAGTTATGTATATCTATGTGTGTGTAACTATGATTGTCCACACTACACACAATTTATAAACGGCTACTCGAGGTTCAAGTTCTTCCATACGTGTGTTATCAAATCCTCTTCAAATTAACGAGGTAAGTGTAGTCATATGTTGTATGTTAAATTGTTTTTCATATTTTAAAATACGAAATTTGATTTATGAATATGATATGGGTCCTATATGTTCTCAATGGACAGGAGTTTAATAGTGCTACGCACATGAATTATAGCAATGAAGTACGGCTATGTCTCCCTATGTCTGTTATGATTGTGTACGGGGACTATGACCACCAAAATCCCTGTATCCCCTCATATACGTTAAGAACTCCTAAACTATAAATATGAATTACGATTTATGTGGCTCACTTATTAGAATTTATCTCATTATTTATGATTTTCCCCATTTTTGGTAATTGTTGTTCGAGATGTTGAAGTTTAAAACGGGTCTCAGGTGGAATAATAAAAAAGAAATGATTATGATTTTCGAATAATAATTTAATGTTTTTGATTAAGTATTTGTTCTTAATAATTATTATTGTAAGTTTAAGAACAATTATCTTTTATAGAAGTTTTATTTTAGATATGTTTTAATGATCTAAAGAGAAATTTTGGGTTGTTAAACTAGCTAAAAATATGAAAAGCATTTATTGACTCGAATAACTAATCGACAAAGGGAGAATCTAGAATATTAATTAGTCATGTAGACGAAATAGACCACACCATGAGAAGCTCAAACCATAATAAGCCACAGATTCAGTTAGTGCCCTTATCCAGACCACCCAAAATTATATAATCCCGTTGTATTCTGAAAACAGAAAGAGAAATTCATCCAGATGCTGTATTGCAACATAAAAGCTGATTTCATAAGATGCTCCATTTAGCAAAATCTTAAATCCAGTGAGCTTCCATTGATATTATTATTTCCATTTCTGCAATTTTCAAATATCAAGACAATGGAAAATTTGCAAACATTTATGTGTAAGATTATTTAAAAAAAAAAAAAAGAAGAAGAAAAGGGCAAATTAAGCCAAGTGTTCTACCCAATTGACTTTGTATTTCCCTCAGTGATCTGAATTCAGAAGTAATAATAAAAGACAAAGGATAAAATAAAACGGTTGTGCTACGGGTACAAAGTCGTGTCCAAAATGGACACACGGCACCTCAGCATTGGTCGAGGCGCCTGTGGGCCCTGGCGTGGTAGGCGCCTCGGCCAATGCCGAGGTGCCGTGTGTCCATTTTGGACACG